GAAAGACCGTGCAGAAGAATGTTCGGACTACCACACAATTGTACTCATTTCACTTGTTAGCAAAGTAATTCTCAAAATTCTCCAAGCCAGACTTCAATAGTACGGAAACCGTGAACTTCCAGATATTCAAGCTGTATTTAGAAAAGGCAGAGGAACCAGAGATAAATTGCCAATATCCATTGGATCATAGAGTAAAAGAATTCCAGAAAAATATCTACTTTTGCTTTCTTTACTCTGCTAAAGCCTTTGACTTTGTGGATCAAGACAAACTGGAGAATTCTTAAAGAGATGGGAATAGCAGACCACCTAACCTGTCTCCTGAGAAATCTGTATGCAGGTCAAGAAGCAAAAGTTAGAACTGGACATGGAACAACAGACTGGTTCCAAATTTGTAAAGGAGTATGTCAGGCTGTATATTGTCACCCTGCTTATTGAGCTTATATGCAGACACCATGTGAAATGATGGGCTGAATGAAGCACAAGCTGGAATCAAGATTGGAAGGGGAAATATCAATAACCTCAGGTATGCAGATGGCACCACCTTTATGGTAGAAGGTGAAGAGGAACTAAATAGCCTCTTGATGAAAGTGAAACAGGAGAGTGAAAAAGCTGGCTTAAAACTCAACATTCAAAAAATGAAGATCATGGCATCTGGTCCCATCACTTCATGGCAAATAGATGAGGAAACAATGGTGACTGCAGCCATGAAGTTAAAAGATGCTTGCTCCTTGGAAGAAAAGCCATGACCAACCTAAACAGCTTATTAAAAAGCAGAGACATTACTTGGCTGACAAAGGTCTGTCTAGTCAAAGCTGTGGTGTTTCCAGTAGTCATGTGTGGATGTGAGAGTTGGACCATAAAGAAGGCTGAGCATCAAAGAATTGATGCTTTTGAACTGTGGTGTTGTAGGAGACTCTTGAGAGTCCCTTGGATTGCAAAGAGATCAAACCAGTCAATTCTAAAGGAAATCAGTCCTGAATATTCATTTGAAGAAATGATGCTGAAGCTCCAATACTTTGGCCACCTGATGTGAAGAACTGACTCATTTGAAAAGACCCTGATGCTGGGAAGGATTGAAGGCAGGAGGAAAAGGGGATGACAGAGGATGAGATGTTTGGATGGTATCACTGACTCAATGGACATGAGTTTGAGCACGCTCTGGGAGTTGGTGATGAACAGGGAAGCCTGGTGTGCTGCAGTCCATGAGGTTTCAGAGTCAGCCACAACCAAGCGACTGAAATGACTGAAGTGACTACACTGAACCTCTTCCATCTTGGAGGGAGCAGAGGCTTATCCTCACTGGAGTAGACACATTCTAGGTGTAGATCTGCCTTTCCTACCCCACAATGCTTCTTCCAGGAGCTCTGTCCACAGGACCCACAGAACCCATTTTCCAGCATCGTGGTACTTCCTGTAGCATTGCTTCTGATCAGCGATTTTCATAGCATCTCTTCTCTGATGGCAAAGGGAATACAGGAATGTGCTCTGGGCCATGGAATTAACTGGTTTTACCGAGGACGCCATCACCTAGAAACAACTGGGCAAATTGTGAAAGCTTACTGAGACAGCATGACAGCTAATGAAGACTCATGTGTGTCCAATGGGAGTCAGCATCCCGAGAGGATGGGGTGCAGTCTGCGAGGATACTGTACATGCTGTGACGGATATAGTGTATATCTGAAGCATAACGGTGCCATCTTTCTCCCACAGCCAGAACATATGGGTCTTGTAATCAAGGAGTGGAAGTGGCTTGTTTTACTACTGAACCCACGACCCAGCTGTAGAATTTTTGCTTCCCATCCTGGCTTCCTTGAGCTTGCGTCTTTGAAGATCCTGACCCCAAAGAGGAGCTGGTCACCAGGGACACTCACATATGTCCAGGGCTCCAGGTGAACAACCCTGATCAGGAAGGCACTCTGCCAGACCTTCCAGAGAAGAAAAGCATGACTGATGTGTCTCTGAAGAATCCAGGAGAAGGACAACCCTTTCAGGCCCCTGCATCTGGAAAATGCATTCTGGGCAGTACTGCAAGAGTTTCGATTCTGTTCAGGTTATACAACAAGAGCAACATTAGCCATGCATACTGATTTTTACTTACTTGTTCATCTAAATGGAAAGAATAATGAGGGTCTTCAGGTCTGTAGAAACAGAAAAACTTTTTCCAGCCCTCCGAAGCACTAGATACAATTTACAGAAAAACTTCCTTATTCTCTTGTCTGCATAAGTTACAGCACTAACTTAAAATAAACTTAACAACTTAAAATAGAGCAGGGCCACTGGTGAAAACAAAATTAATGTTAGTCCAGTTACTCCCTCATTTAGCCATCACTGGTGATTCTGTGAAGGTTATTACTATTCATATACTCGGCTTCTTTTTAAATATTCACTTATTTATTTGGCTGCGCCGGGTTTTAGCTGTGACATGTGGGATTTTTATTGTAGTTGTGGCATGTGGGCTCTAGTTCCTGGATCAGGGATCAAACCTGGGTTCCCTGAATTCGCAGCATGGAGTCTTAGCCACAGACCACCAGGGAAGTCCCCTCTACTTGTTTCTTGATAAAGGGACCCCCGTGCCTTTAAAACATTGATTGTTTTGTCCATATTTTAATGCTGTAGTTAAGAACATGAACTCTGAAATTTGATGTTGGTGTTTGAATCCTGGCTCAGTTCCTTTCTGGATCTGTGATCCTGGGTAAGTCAATTAACCTCGCTGTACCTAAGTCCCCTATCTCTAAACTGAGGATGATAGCGGTGCCCATTTTGAGTGTTTGGAGCGTTCATTACGATAACATAGGCAATATGTTACAATAGTGCTTGGCACGTAGTAAGCGGTGAATAAATGTTAGCAGTTGTTATTGTTAATATTATAATTTGGCAATGCTTGCTGTAAGTTAGCGTGCCAGGAATATAAACCATTTTATATCCCCTCTTTCTCTACAAACCTGCAGAACACCTGCTAAATGACTGCTATGGATCGAATTCTGTTTCTTGTTCACATCCCCTCCTCCCTGCCCTGAATTCTTCTGTTCAAGTTTTAACCCCCAGTGAGACTGTATTTGGAGAGAGCACCTTTATGGAAGTGATTAAGGTTAAATGAGGTCACAAGAGTGCGGTCTAATCTGATAGGCCTGATGTCCTTAGAAGGGTCAGACATTTCTGTCTCTCTGCATGTACAAAGAAGACAGGCCATGTGGAAACGCAGAGGGAAAGTGGCCGTTTACTCACCTGGAACCAGTCCCACTGACACCCTGACCTTGGACTTCTAGCCTCCAGCACTGTGGGAAATAAATGTGTGTTGTTTAAGCCCCTCAGGCTGTGGTATTTTGCCATGGCACCCTGAACAAACTAAGATGTTCTGGAACGTTTTAACTTGTATATTGAATGAGAGACAACGGGCAGTCCTCACGTAGGATGTCTGATGCCATCCTCAATGCCATTTCTCCATTGTGGGAAAATCTTAACTCTGCCACCTCCCATGGTGGTGGTGGGGTTGTCCGGAGGAGTCATATACCACTGGGACTACTGTCCACTTGCTTCCCTCAATATCACTGTTGTCTACGGAATTAATTGAGGCTCCAGGCTGACTTCCAGCTATGCAGAGGTTAGTTATTGTCCGTGAGGACCTCTTACTTCTTCCTCTTCCAACACAGATGATCTTGTAGGAATAAGAATCTGGTCCATTGAGTCACTGCTTCCTTGGTGGCTCAGATGGTAAAGAATCTGCCTGCAATGTGGGAGATCTGGGTTGGGAAGATCCCCTGGAGGAGGGCATGGCAACCCACTCCAGTACTCTTGCCTGGAGAATCCCATAGACAGAGGCACCTGGGAGGCTACAGTCCTTGGGGTCACAAAGAGTAGGACATGACTGAGCGATTAAGCACACATCTGTCCATTGAGTCATTCCGGATTGGTGTGACCTTATGGGTCTTTAGCCTTCATTCCCTCAGAAGCTGGGCCACACTGGCTGGAGACCTGGCCATTTCAAGGCACTCCCAAAGCCTTCCCAGGGTCTTCTGGTTCCCTGAGACCACGCTGCTCGTGGCCTCTTCCTCCTGAGTCCCTGCCTCACGCCAGCTGGATTTGTGCCCTGTCACAAGAAGCCTGCATGAATTTAGTTGTCCTAACTGAAGACTTAGTGATCACAGGAAGATTTGGTTGTCACGGGATGTGAGGCCTTGGAATTTTCTCTCTTCCCCCTCCCCACTTTTCTCCTTACCTTTCCTTTTTCAAGTCCCTAGGAACTCTTCCTTTCAGTCAGAGAAGACTGGCTGAGTGCTAAGACTTAAAGTTGCAGAAAGCCTCGTTAATAAGAGGCTTGCAGAAGAAAGAGCCTTCCATTTTATGGCAGTTTTGCTTATCAACTTATTGTAAATATCTTATTGTAAATAACACTGTAAAATATCAACCTATTGTAAATATTATATTGTAAATACAATATAACCTATTGTAAATATAATATAAATAAAAATAAAATAAAATATAATAATATTGTAAATATAATACATATTGACATATGTATGATGATATGTATATTATATGCACACTATTTCATATATGTGATGTTTTGACTATATAAAATATTTACACTTGTAAATAATTTTTTTCTTCTTACTACATAAAGAATAATTAAGGCACTTGGGAGATAAAAGGAACTGCCTAGTTTAGAAATACAGATTTAACTGTGGAGTTTAGGTCTCTTCAGAGTCACTCATTGACTCGTGAAAAGCTCTTTGGAACTTCTGAATCTATTTCTCAGGTGTAGGGTATTCAGAATCTGAAAGTAGGAATGAGGTCAATCATGAGACCATGTAGCTGTAGGAAAGTCCAAGCAACGTGGCTTTAGCTTTTCAGATGTTGAAGGCTTTCCTAAGAGCATCGTTAAAACAAAAGAGATGGAAACGGAGAGAGAGATTCAGAAACTTTTATTGATCACACAGAATATCCAAGGTAACCTCTGCGACGGTAAAGTTAGATTTCTGTGCCATTTGAGTGTAAATGAACTACACAGAAAATGCACAAACGTACGCCGAGTATTCATGGCAATTGACGGCAATCATTCTAAGAAGGCCACGTCTGGAGCACGCTTTGTGCCTGCAAAGCTTCACCTGGTCGGTGCGCAGGGCGCCGGCCGCTCCCCACACCGACTTTTTGGCCGCGGACCTCCGGGCTGGCGCAAACCCTGAGCTCGGCTCGGGGGCTCCCGGTCCAGCGCCGACTGCGCTGTCTCCCCAGCACCGCGCGCCCCTGGACGGCTTCCCGCCTCCGCCCCTCCGGCTGCCGCCCACGCCCCCGCCACGGGGGGCAGGAGGCGGCGGCGGCCGGCCCTCCCCGAGCCCTTTTAAAAGCCTCCCAGGCGAGGCCCGGCAGGGTGATCCCGGCGGAGGAGGGAGCAGCACGCTGAGCTTCCGCAGCGGTGCGCGGAGCCGAGCGCCCAGGGCTGCGCCTCCCGCTGGTGGGGCCCGGCACTCCGGGCTCCCCGACGCTCTCGCTGCCGCCGCCGGCCTCCCCGCACCGGCCATGCGCCCCGGCTAGCGCGCCTGGGGCGCAGCGCCCACCCGGCGGCTCCCGCCGCCCGCCCCCGCCGCCGGCATGCTGCGCCCGCTGCTGCTCGCCGCGCTCTGCCTGGCCGGCCGGCTGGGGGCCGCCCGCGGCTGCCAGCTGCCCTCCGAGTGGAGACCCCTGAGCGAGGGCTGCCGAGCCGAGCTGGCCGAGATCATCGTGTACGCCAAGGTGCTGGCGCTGCACGCGGAGGTGCACGGCCTCTACAACCACCTGCCCTGGCAGTACGAGGCCGGCGACGCGGGGCTCCTCTACTCCGCGGAGATCGAGATGCTGTGCGACCAGGCCTGGGGCAGCATGCTCGAGGTGCCCGCGGGCTCCAGGCTCAACCTCACCGGCCTGGGCTACTTCTCCTGTCACTCCCACACCGTGGTCCAGGATTACTCCTATTTCTTCTTCCTCAGGTGAGCCCGCCACTCCCGCCCACACCATCCCCGCGGCTACTCGGCTCGGCCAGCAGAGGCACCTTTATCTTCAGCAGGCTCAGGAACTCCTCCGGAATCCTGCCCGGCGATGCTAAGTGATGGCCTGGTCTCCCCTGGCCTCCTTCCCGTTTTCTGCTCTTTCCTGCTCCTCATGTGGCGTCTACAGAGATCCTGGGTGCCTCTGGCTAAGACTGGTGGCCAAACAGGGATGGCTCCTGTGCTTAACCAGGGAAGAGTGCTGCAGGCCAGAGCTCAAGGTGGTTTTCCGGCGACAAACAGCCTGTATCAAATGGGGAGGTTTATGCGGGGGGTGATGGGGAAGAAGGCCCTGGTCACAGCGCTCTGAGGAGTATGAAGGGCAAGCGGACAGGAGCCCTCTCTGGTTGAGTTCCATGCAAGTTGGTCTGTGGTGCAGATGAGATGCCTGTGGGTAAGAGTTCAGGGGATGGCGTCTCCTGGAGTTTAATAAGAAAGTGGAACCCTAATTGAGGTGGAATCCTTCTAGAGGAGGAAGGCTGTATTTTAAAGTGGATGCGGTGGGAGTCGTTTGGGATGGACAGTGGTCAAAGCCAAGTCAAACACCTTTGGAATCAGATGGTTGTTGGAATTCTGGCTCTGTTCTTCCTATCATTTTGAGCAAGTTACTGACTTTGTCAAGAACCTCAAGAGCCTCACCTTCATAATGTGCAAAACAAAGGTAGTTGAGATTAAAGCCTAGTAACTATGCAAAACCCCTGGTGCAGGTTAGATGAGGAAGGTGCAGTTACTCAATTCTGCACACCTGCTTAAATGCCAGGATGGGACTGGTGTGGAATGCAGCCCAGCTGTCCTCTTGTTTCACTTGGATTAGCTCATATCAGCTGCCAGCAGACCTCAATGCCAGGCTCTTGCAAATAGCAAAAGTTGATAGAGGAAGGGCCTGGGGGCGGGGGCATTAAGGGATTGGGAAGGTGCTCACAGGGCTTTGAAGAAGAGACAGGTGAACTAGACCAGGCCCTGTCTGTTGGGAGACTCCTGGAATCTTGTGAAGTTCCATGAAAGTTTGTCGTGTGGTCACGAGGAAATGCATGTAGATAAGGGTTCAGGTTATGGGTTCAACAGAAGTTTGCGATACAAAACAGCAGGTGGAACCCTAATGCATTGGTGTTCTCCAGTTGGAGGAGGAGGCTGATACAGAGAAACTGGGAGGAACCTCAAAATGGAATCTAATGGATAGTGATTGATTCCACAGCTGTGATGGACAATAAGTCCTGTCTTCCCAGTATGTGGCATAGCATTAAGGATATTTGGAGTGGCTATGACCTTGGTCTGGAGACTAACTTTTAGCTCTTGAGATTTCACATCACTGAGAAAGAAGACAGAAGGTTCCACAGATGGGCGTCCGTAAGCTTGCGGTAACACATGTTTTCCATATTAAAGCCTGAATATCTAAGTTTAGAATACATGGCGTGCTTTGTGTTGGCTTGGGTGGTTTAGCCAGATTAAGTTGAATTAAAAAAAAAATACTGGAGAAGTAGAGTTTCTAAATAAAGCTGGCAAGGAGTGAGATAATACCTTCTTGATATGGAGAAACTTAGACTTTTACATGTCTTTATTTAGGGAAACCAGCTCTAACACTATTCAACAATAAAATTTTATTTTCCAAAAGTAAAAAGAGCCAGGATACTTAAGACATTATTTTCTTTTCCGATTTTATAATGATATACAGTTTTGTCCACTGGCTCTGTGGTGGTCAGCCTGTTCTTTCCTCTTTTTCTCTGACATATTTATAAAGCGTTAGGGCAGAGATACAGAGTCAAATGGTAGTCTTACAAGATTTCTATTTCACAGGGCTGTGTTGCCCTGATATGTAACAACCACATACAAATCATTCCTCTGTTGTTCTGGGCCCCGTGGAGAGGAGAACAGATTCTGGACAGTGTCACAGGAGAACGTGGTAGTGGAGACTCCCTGGTGAGCCCCCACATGCCTACTCTGGGCTGGAGTGCGGCTTCCATCTCTTCTTTTCCTTCTCTTGATTTCTCTATCTTGCCAACAGGTACTTTATGCGGGGTTCTGTAAAAATGTTAACTTTTATACTGTGCTTACACTGTGCCAAATACTTTACTTACTTAAAAAAAAAATGCACTCCTTACACCACCATTAAAAAAATAAGGATGCTGTTGTCATCCTCGTTTTATAGATTGAACATTTAAGCTTAGAGAATTTAAGGATTCACTGTGTGTCAAACAGGAGATAAGTAGCAGTGGTAGGACTTGAATCTCGGGTCATTGAAATTGGCTTTCCTTTGCCCAGGGAACAAGGAGCACTCTACTAGGAGAAGGAAGGCTGCTTGGGAGATACACAGACAGACAGACACAGAGTCACACTCACCCATCCCCCAACTCACATGTTTTGAAAAATTTAAGGATAGACACATGCAGTGTGAGGCAGAGAGACAATTAGAGATAGTGACCCCTCTAATGCGAGCCATGTAGATGTGTAATTGGAAGCTGCATGCAAATCAGTGAAGTTAGAATATACCCTCACACTGTGCACAAACATATCTCACAATGGTTTAAAGACTTAAACATAAGACATGACACCATAAATCTCCTAGAAGAGAGCATGAGCAAAATGTTTTCTGACGTAAACTGGACCTATGTTTTCTTAGGTCAGTCTCCCAAGGTAATAGAAATAAAACCAAATATGAACAGAGGGGACCTGATCAAACTTACAAGCTTCTGCACAGCAAAGAAAACCATAAAAAAAAAAAAAGACAACCTAAAGAATGGGAGAAAATATTTGCAAATGATGCAATAGACCAGGGCTTAATTTCAAATATACAGACCATACAACTCAACAACAAGAAAACCAATCAAACGATGGGCAGAAAAGCTTTAATAGACATTTCTCCAAAGAAGACATGCAGATGGCCAGTAGACACATGAAAATATACTCAACGTCACTAATTATTAGAGAAATGCAAATCAAAGCTACAGCCAGGTACCATCTCCTATCGGGCAGAATGGCTATCATAAAAAACATAACAAATAGCCAATGTTGGAGAGTGTGTGGAGAAAAGGGAACCCTCCTACACTGTTGGTGGGAATGTAAGTTGGTGTAGCCACTATGGAAAACAGCATGGGGGATCCTCAGAGAATTAATAGGACCACCATATGATCCAGCAGTCCCCCTCTTGGGCATATCCCCGGAAAAAACTGTAATTCAGGAATATACATGCACCCCCCGGTTCATAGCAGCACTATTCACAACAGCCAAGATATGGAAACAGCCTAAATGTCCATTGACAGTTGAATGCTTAAAGAAAATGTGGTATGTATATATGAATATTACTCAGCCATAACAAGAAAGAAAGAATGCCATTTGCAGCAACATGGATGGAAGTAGAGATAATTATACTAAGCGGAGTAAGTCACAAAGAGAAGAATAAATACCATATTATATCACTTATATGTGGAATCTAAAATACGGCACGAATGAACCTATTTACAAAACAGAAACAGACTCAAGGATACAGAGAATAAACTTGTGGTTGCCAAGGGGAATGGAGGGAGGGAGAGGGATGGACTGGGTGTTTGGGGTTAGTAGATGCAAACTCTTACATTTGGAATAAACAACAGGGTCCTACCTTAGCACAGGGAACCATATCCAATCTCCTGGGATAAACCATAATGGAAAAGGTATTTAAAAATGTATGTATATGTATAACTGAGTCGCTTTAGAGCAGAAATTAGCACAACACAGTAATTCAACTCTACTTTAAAAATAAAAAAAGATGTTGTATAACTGGCAACACTGTCACAGTCTTCTGTTGACTCTTGATTCAAGATGGTACACCCCATGGGTATCCAGTCTACAGCTCTTGCCTCCTTTTTTTTTCCATTAGGATGGATGAGAACTATAACCTCTTGCCTCATGGAGTCAATTTCCAAGATGCCATCTTTCCAGACACTCAAGAGAACAGAAGGATGTTTTCTAGCCTTTTCCAGTTTTCAAACTGTTCGCAAGGGCAGCAGCTGGCGACTTTCTCCAGTGACTGGGAGGTCCAAGAAGACACTAGGGTAAGAATTGGCTGTACCCTCTGCTACAGCAAACATAAGATAGCTATGACTCATATGAATGTTGTGACCAAGGGAGTCAAGAGTCCTCTTCCAAAGTCCAGATCAAGAAGTGTTTTTCACCCTCTCCACAGCCCTCCCAGAAGTTAACAAATACCGCGCATAAACTCTGGAGTCCTCAGGCTGTACTGTGTGGCAAGAGGTTCCTCACAAAGTGAGGGGACAAGATGGGCTGAAGGTTGGCATGCTGTGCCTCAGTTTCCTCTTCTGTAAATTGGAAACAATAGTAACATCTGTGTCTTAGGGCGGGTGGGACATGATTTAACCATGTGGGGAATGTCAGTAGGTAAGGCCTTTAGTGTAGTGTTTGAGAGCAAGCACTCAATACACTGAGCTGTTATGACTACTTCTGTTGTTGGTTTTAAATACTTACGTGTTTTTACTTGGCCATGCTGGGTCTTAGTTGTGGCACGTGGGATCTTCAGTCTTCCTTGCAGCAGGATCTCCAGTTGCAGCATGCAGACCCTTAGTGGCAGGATCTAGTTCCCACGGAACAGAAGGATCCGGATCACTCGGGGCATGAAGAGAGAAGAGGCATCTTTCAGTCTGAGGCAGATGCCTGAGTTGTGGGGATATTTCGAGGACTGTCGCTTTCTCTGAGCAGTGGCATTGTCACAGCTGAGCCAGGGGAGCAGGGAGGCCGTGGCCCATCGCTCCCAGTCTCCCACCAAGGTGTTTATAGGACCACGTGACAGACCGCTGGAGACAGCTCTGATGTGGGTTAATGAACCAGTGTGCATGTACTAGGTGGTTTCCTTCTTTCCCCCATCTGTGGTGTCCTTATGGGGGTGGTGTCTTTCTCTTGCCTGGTGGGTTGGCCTAGGGGAGTGGCCTTGTTCTTCCAAAACTCCTGCCCAGGGCTCCCTGGCACCTGGAGGCTTTCTTTGTGTTCTTTGCACAGAAACTGTTCTCATCGTGGGCAAGTGCATCTGACTATGGGAAAGTGCTGATTCCTCCTTTCCATTCGTTATCCAGGCTTCCTTCCTTAGGCCTGCCCTACTGCCAGTTCTGGACTCCCCGGCCCCGCCCCAAGACTTGCTGAAATCTTCTGAGTGCTTGTCATATATTTCACTCCCAACATGGGTCTAAGCGCCTTTCCCTCTCCCTGCCCGGCTCTTTTTGTTCTCCTACCCGAGTCTTAATCTGTGCCAGCACCCACTCCACATCGAACTGGACCCACCAAGCATGAGCCTGAGCATCCCCAGCCTGGGTCCGACCGTAGCGTTTCAAATTAAAATCTTCTTAGTCTCGGCCCTTTGGTTCTCCAGTTTGTGGGATTTTTGCTTCATGTACTAAATCCTTGGTAACAGTACACTGATGTCAAGAGATCAGATGTTGATCCAAAAATACCTCACAGCTGAGCCCCAAACTCTTTAGATATATAACTGATTAGCCCTGTGGTCACACAATGAAGCTATTAACATTTTACTGCAATTAGGTTTCCCATCATTCGAAAAAAATAGAACAATGGGACTGTGGAGAATTGTTTTAATGTGAAGGCAGTCCTATTTTGGGTGGTCAGATGTTGATCTTGGGGAGAATTCCTTTTCCCTTTCATCATCCTGGTCTCTTAGATAACAGAGGGTGGGTATGTGTGTTTGCGCTGAGTCCGAAGCTTTTGGGGAAAGAGAATTAATTGTTCCAGGTTGCTGAGCTGCTGTGGAGCCAAATTGAGGTGTTGATGGACTGTGTATGTATCACATCTTGGCTCCTTCCTCTGCCCACTTTGAAAGGTACCACATCAGAGCTGAGTTAAATTAGCTAGTTCATTTGAGAATTTAGGTTTAAAATAAAACTAAGGTGCTAGCATTTATGTATTATGATATTCCTTGAGATATTTTTACTTTCTGTGCAGTGATTAAAATAGTTGTGAATTGAAGGTGTCAGAATTAGACAAAGAGTTATTGACAGTTACTTGCTCCTTTCTTGAAAAAAAAAAAAAAACAACTAAAACTAAAAATTATCTGCCTTAAAAAAAAATAAAAACAACTTCTGTTTGGTTGTGCTGGATCTTTGTTGCCATGAGGGCTTTTCTCTAGTTATGGCAAGAAAGGGCTACTCTTTGTTGCAGCACACAGGCTTTTTATTGCAGTAGCTTCCCTCGTTGCAGAGCATAGGCTCTGAGCATGTGGGCTTCAGTGGTTGTGGGTTGTGGGCTCACTAGTTTTGGCACATGGGCCTAGTTGATCTGCAGCTTGTGGAATCTTCCTGGACCAGGGATTGAACCAGTGTCCCTGCATTGGCAGATGGATTCCTATCCACTGTGCCAGCAGGGAAGTCCTCTCTGCTCTTTCTGTGTGAAGGTGAGTATCCTGCTTTCTCTCCTATGCAGGGTAAGTAAATCATGTTACGACACAAACAGTCTGTTTTTCCTAAGGTGATAGGTCTTCCATCTTAGATGGGATCAGAGGAGCTTGTTTGGGTCACCTTTTTATTCCAGTTAGACTCTTGCAAATGGGAACATATGAACCCTTCATTTGTTCTGAGAGCATTATGAATGGCCCTGGACGGTGCACATTACAGTTTCTCTATATCACATGCCGTGTCTTAGATGATGATAAATTCTGGGGGAACACTGATGAATTCTCATCATTTCCACTGTTGCTGCTGCTCTTTAAGGCCCCAGTCAGCTCGAACAGTGTGTTTAGATTGTGGTCGTGAAGGGTGCATCTCCTCCTTTTCATGGATAGTTTTCATTCTTTTGCAGCATCACATGAATCTGGGACTCTAGGGTTAGTCCGGAGGTTAAGAAATGGAACCAGAGGAAAATCTGATGCAGGGAAACTTTTTGTGATACATATCCAAGACAACCTGCAACTCTGTCCTCAGCGGCCAAATCCTCTCATTCTCTAGTTCCATCCTTAGACATCCCTCCCCACCCCCCGCCGCCCCTCGCTTCAGTCAGTGGAAGCATAAGCTTGCTTTCAGAAGTTGCCAGGAAATCAGCAGCACTCCTAAGTGTTCAGCATCTCTCTGGTTCAGTATTGTGGTGTTAATGGGACCTCCGGGGATGTCTTTGGCAAGTTAGAGCATCCATCCCATTTTCTGGCAGGGTTCTTTCCACGCCAGCCAAGAACATTTTCCTTCCCTTTTTTCTTCCCTGCTGGGTGAGTGTAACAATCAAAACAAAAGTTGGCTGTTTTCCTCTCTCAGCAAGTCCTGTCCCCTGGGACTGAGACCCAGACTGACCCACACATACATCAGTCTGACCTTGAGTGTCATGGGACTGACATAAAATCTGTAGAAGACCTCCTGTCATCTTTCTTTTTTCCCTTTTTAGAGTTGGGAAGGATGGTGAGGGAGGTGCCATCCTCATCAGGCAATCAGGATTGGCTGTGCCATTTTCAGTGGCGTGATCTTAGGCAGAACCCTTAATTTCTCACAGCTTCAGTTTTCTCCTTCCCTGATAGCTCCGTTGGTTAAAAAAAAAAAAAAAAAAAAAATCTGCCTGCAATGCAGGAGACCCCAGTTTGATTCCTAAGTCAGGAACATCTGCTGGAGAAGGGATAGGCTACCCATTCCAGTATTCTTGGGCTTCCCTTGTGGCTCAACTGGTAAAGAATCCCCCTGTAGTGCAAGAGACCTGGATTTGGTCCTTGGGTTGGCATATCCCCTGGAGAAGGGAAAGCCTACCCTCTCCAGCATCCTGGGCTGGAGAATTCCATGAACTGTATAGTCCATGGGGTCACAAAGAGTCGGACACGACTGAGCGACTTTCACTTTCAAAACATATAAACTCTCATGTTGTCTTAAGGACTCAATTAGATCATAGGTTTGAAAGCACTTTGTCAGTTGTAAAGAGTGATGGAGGGGTTTATGACTGTAAATGGATAGTTAGAAAGTATGGCTTTAAAACTTAAAGATTATGCAACTTTTAAAAAGCTTCCTGTGTCTTCCCAGGGCAGTGTGGGAGCAGTGGTGACAGGGAAGGTGCTAGAGAGGGGACCAGATGATGGGGAAGCTCTCGTGTGTGTTGTAATTCATTCAGCAGATTTTACTGGGTTCTGGCCACAGAGCACTTAAAAATTCATGTACTGAATTGTAAACCATGTTCATGAGGATTCCCAAATCTGAAAGTATAAAATGGTCGTCAGTAGAGTTTTTTCCTCTCACCTCTGACACCCATCCACCCAGTTCCCACCTACCCTCCAAACGCGTAACCACTGATATTAGTTTCTTGTAAGCTTCCAGTGAGTATTCTCCTCCAACAGACAATTCAGGCAAGATTTACTGTCTTCTGCTTCCATGGTGGCTGAGCGGTTAAAGTGTCTGCCTGCAATGCGGGAGACCCGGGTTTGATCCCTGGGTGGGGAAGATCCCCTGGAGAAGGAAATGGCAACCCACTCCAGTATTCTTGCTTGGAGAATCCCATGGAGGGAGGAGCCTGGTAGGCTACAGTCCACGGGGTCCCAAAGAGTTGGACACAACTGAGCGACTTCACTCATTTACGGGAATGGCAGCCCACTCCTATATTCTTGTCTGGAGAGTCCCATGGACAGAGGAGCCTGGCAGGCTTCAGTCCATGGGGTCACAAAGAGTCGGACACCACTGTGTGACTAACGCACGCTTTTGATACCAGTGGTACCGCGCTATGTAAACATAGTTGTGTCCTGCTTTGTTCACAAGTGGATACATGTAAGTAGACATGTAGGTTGCTGTATCTAGACATGTGAGTTGGTTTAAACAGCTGCATCAGGTTCTCCATTGTATTAATGCCTTACTATGTATTTAATCAAGTCCCCTGTTGATAGGTAGTTGCACTGTTTCCAATCCATGGATATTACATAGAGTGTGGACGTGTATGACACTCTATCAGTACACACCTCATTTTGCGGAATTGTTGAGTCCAATCTTTAGCAAGTGACTGTTGAGTGACTACCTTGAGGCAGCTGCTCTGTTAGATACTAGAGTTTCAGTGTTGAGAAAAATACAAAGTCCCTGAT